TCTCTCTCTCTCTCTCTCTCTCTCTCTCTCTCTCTCTCTCTCTCTCTCTCCCCTCCCTTTTCATCTCTCCCTCCCTCTTTCTTTCCCTCCTTCCTTTTCTCCTTTCCTCTAAATTAAATCCTAATGTTGAATCGGATATTTCCTCCAGCACAATAGTATGTCATTTCAAATTTACAGGATTGTTTAGCATACTTCTGATTTCCTATGGAGTGACAAGCAGAGGGTGTTAGTCTTCAAAGACGATGCAATGTAAGGGCTCCATGACACCTCTGCCTTGCTGTGAGGCCCTAGGAAGCTCTGAAGTTCAGTGTCTTCTGCACTGGTTTCTTTTACAGACACATTGGTGGGTAGGGAGTCACGCTGTCACAGGAATTCGTTCCAGCTGAACATATCTGACCATGACTATCAGCTGACCTTTTAGATTTTGAAATCACTTTTCCCAGAAACGAGTTTTCATACACTAATAAATGGGGAAAGCTCATCAGAATGTTTCTCTTTTATAACCAAATAACTTTATCAGCCGTACATTCTGAGCAGCAAATGATTTTTTCCCTTTAGGTAAGCATGCTATATGCCATGTTCTCTCTGCAAGACCTCTTTATGTCTAGCTTACTTTACTTTGAATACAGTCTTAAAATATTTTATTCAACAAATAATCAGATTTCAGATGCCAACAGTGGTGGCACATGCCTTTAATCCCAGCAGTAGGGAAGCAGAGGCAGGTGGATCTTTGTGAGTTTGAGGTTAGCCAGATCTAGAAAATAAGTTTCAGGATAGCCAGAACAGTTACACAGTGTTGCCCTGCTTTGAAAAGAACAAAAACAAAAACAAAAACAAAAACAAAAAACGAAACAACAAAGCAAAATTCAATTTCTACCCGGAAAATTGCCTTTTATTATGTGTCTATATCTTCTTTAGATCGCTGACAGTGCTGTAGTTCTAATAACTGTCTCAGTGACACAAGGTTGCCATACACACCAGAAATTTTGCAGTGAGTAGTGGAAGGGGTGAAGTGCGGAAAGTAGCGTGTTCGCTTAGAATATTTTTCAATCCTCTTCACATCGACAACCTCTAAGAAGGTGCCAACGAAATAGACATAGCGCGATGAAAGTAGGCTGTCCCCAGGTATTCAAACCCCAAGTCTGTATTCCAGAATGAGATTATCTATTCACAGACACGGAAAAGATTTCATTCATAAAAGAATGGAAGCCATCTTGGAACCTTGGAAATCCAACCACGTCTGGGAGACGTAGACTGTGAAGATAACCTTGAAAAACTAGCTCAACTGTTGAGTGTTAGAGTGTGAACACAGAGTGTTTTCAGAATGAAGACAAGTCATAGGAAGCTTAGAAAACGGACACAGCATCGCCTCTGCGTCATTGCCACCAGCACAAGGTAAAGCTAGGGTTTCTCCCTCAATGGCAATTGGCTCCCTTTTGGGACCACAACTCCCTAGTGCTCTTATTTCTCCAAAACTTCTCCATTCCATGGCACCTACTCTCACAGAAGTCATCAATGATCTTCATGTTATTAACGAAAACGACTAGTTCTATGTCCTCACCATATTGGAGCTACTAGCAGTAGTAAACTATTAATTACACTGTTGACTCAGATGACAACATGCTGCCCTCATTTTGCTCCTGCTCTGACTTTC